TGTGAGTTTCCATTCTCATGTTTGGGAAATTTTCAGCTATTACTTCTGTAAATAGCCTCTTGATATCATTTGTGTTATCCCCTTCTTTTTATTTATCCCTATTAATCTTATGTTGTTTTTCTTTGCATCATCTTGCAGTTATTGAGTTGTTATTTCCAGATTCCTTGTTATTTTTAAAAGATCTTTCCTTTCATGTATACTAGCTGTAATCTTGTCTTCGAGGCTGAAATTCTATCTTCACTTTTGTTGAGGTGGTTTTGACAACTTTCAATGGAAATTTTGATTTCCTGTATATCTCTTTGCATCTGCTTCATGTATTCTGTTTGTTTCTTATATTGTTCATTCAGGTATTGTATCTTTTTTATTTGTTCCTCTAATTTTTTAATTGTGTCTTCTTTAGGTGTGTTTAGCATCTCTTTCATTACTTCTTTTTGTTTTATCTGGAAGATTAATTTTAGTTTGAATTCCTTGAAGTCTTCCCAGAGTTGCTTCTTTATTTCAGTTGCTATTATTTCAGGTATTTCAGGTGTATGGCATACATTTTCTCCCATGCACATGGCTCCTAGGTTTTCTTGGGATGGGCTGGAGGTTTGAAATTGCATTTTGGTCTTTTGTTTTGTCATATATTTCCATGTTTCAAGTGTTGTTCCAAGGCTTCCGCTGGGCCTGCTGGAAATTGTCTCATATGCCCTCGGCTCCTGGGACTGAATGGAGGTTACTGAGCATAGTCCAGTCAGGCCCACAGGACCTCCTGTGTCACCTCCAGTGTTCCAGGAAGCTGGACAGGCACCTAACCACTGTGGATGATGGTCCAGAGCTGGCCCTGGCAAAGACCAATGCCCTGGGACTCACTTATGTGCTCTCAACTCCCCTGATTGAAGAAAGTCATGGGGTATCATCTAGTTGGACCACAAAACCTCCCGAGCCTAGTGTATTGTGGCTGGAAGCTGGCTGTATCCTTGACTACTGGGAGAGATGATCTTAAACTCTCCTGGGGCTCGGAATGGTAAGCAGAAACTCACTCCCGCTGGGTGCTCAGTTCCCTCCTCTGGCAGCAGAGTTCCCTGGATTGAAAGAAGCTCGCTGGACATGTCCCAGGCCCACCTGAAACCTGCAGAGACCAGTCTAGTGTGGCTGGAAGCTGAGTGCATCCTTGGCCACTGGGAGGAATGATCTTCAAGGCTATAGAATTGTTAACCACGAACTTTATAAAGTCCATGAGATCTGTACTGTCTTTTATTTTTTTCTTAATAATTTATTTCCTTTTTTCCATTAAGCCAACTAAAGACTAATTTTATTGATACATTCCAAGAACCAGCATTCAGTTTTACTGATTTTCTCTATTGATTCCCAGTGGTAAATTTTATTGAATTCTGTTCCAATTTTTAAAATTTATTTTCTTCCATTTACTTTGAATCTAATTTGATTTTTGTTTCCAAAAGATGAAAGATTACTGACATATGTAGTAGTCTAATATCTAAGACTAGTACTTGTTGTATGTTGTGGTCCACAAATTTTGTAAGTGGTATTCTAATTTCATTGTAAATCAAAATAGTTTTTGATTTAATTTTTTAAAAATTTTCTCCATGTCAAGTTGTCCAATCTTTAAAGAGTACTAAAAATTCCAATTTGGGGGGCTAGTCTGTCTCTTTTTGCAACTCTCTCTCTCTCTCTCACCTCAAACATCTTGACATTATGTAGTTAGGTATGCATTTAAGATATTATATCTCGTTAGTTTACTGACCCCCTTAATCAGTTATATCTTTTAAAAAATTCCTGATAAGTTCATTCGTTCTGAAGTCTGCTCTATCTAAAATAAATGTAACTGCTCACAGTTTGATTAGTGTTACTTTAATATTTTTCCATTCCTTTGCTTTTAATCTACATGTCCTTATATTTCAAATGGGGATCTTATAGACAGCAAACAGTTTTGTTTTCTGTTAAACTCTGACAATATCTGCTTTTAAGTGATATATTTATATTAGCGACATTTATAATCCTTATCTATACATTTGGGATAGTTCTGCTTTTACTGTTTTCTATTTGATGCCCTAGCTCTTTATTTGTTTTAATTAACACTTTTTATGCCTTTTTGTGATTTTAATTGAGCATTTTATATATGTCCACATTCTTACACATTCAGTTTTGGAAAAAGTCACACAACCCACTTATTTTATTTGTATGTCCTTGCTGAACCAATACTCAACACTCAGAGTTAAGAAATGAATAGTTGTTCATTTATTTCACAGCTCACAGCTTATTTCAATCCATAATTAGCTTGCTCCTAGGTACAGTGGAACAGTAAATGGGCAGCTGTTCATAGAGGAAGAAAATACCAAGAGCAACAGTGGAAGGGAGAGGGTTCAAACATCTTTCCCTACTTTATATTATACTCGGACTATCCACTTTAGGATGGGTGTAGCACTCACACCCCCATTCCCAAAACTACACAATGAACCAATCACATACTCTAGATTCAAATTTCTCAAAAAATCCCACTTCTCCATGATCATGGGAGTCTTTAGGGGGACTCCAGACACAAGTAATAGCATCTTCCTAGTAAGTGGAGATTCATAGTCGATTTAATTTAATTTAAGAAAACTAAGTGTTGTCTTTCTCCTATGTTTTGAGAAAATCAAGACATTTATATGTATTATGTTTCAGTTTTGCTTCGAAAGACATTTGCATTATTTCTGTTATCAGAACAAATAATACAATTTAGAAATGGTTAATGGACTCTAGCTGCCATTGCAGAGACTTCCCACTAGTATCCAGCTCAGGTCCCAGAGGCAGTGGCCAGCTCTGCTTCCATGTGCATACCAGCCACCATCAAGGGTGCTTCCTGCACCAGTAGCCAGTGTAGACTGGGAAAAGTAGCAGCCAGCCCTGCCCCTGCACACCTCATGGCCACCATCACATACCTGTAGCCAGTACTAGCCAGGAGAATCAAACAGTCATGCTTCGGAGAATTTGTAGCCAACATGGCAAGTGCCTGGGAACCCACTACCCACTTGTCCAGAAGAATCCAGGAAAATGTCAAGATGAAGAAGCAACAGGCAGTCTCTGGACTCTAACTCAAGCAGAGCAAGTGCAGGAATATAAACACTAAAGAGACTGGGACTTGCACACTTGAAGTTTCTGAAGTGATAGCAACTGAAACAACTTCCTAAGGCTATTAACAAATTAGAACAGAAATACTCCCTCAGGTAAAAGAAGAAATGGAAGACAACGAAAAGTTGCTAAGCATCTCTAAAGAAGATGTAGATAAAAAAAATAGAGAAGTATAGGAAAATGAGGGAACCTTGAATGAACAATATAAGAAGGATTTAGAATGTGTGAAATAGATTCAAAGTGATATCCAGGAAATTAAAAACTCCATTGAAACTGGCAAAATCAATTGAAAGGAACTGAAGACAGATTTTCAGACCCTGAAAACAGGTTTGCAGCTTGCTATTATGAAAGGAAATATCTCTTAAAAAAAACTAAGGAACCAAGAAATATCAATTCAACAGCTGTAAGATGGCACAAAGAAAAATAAGAATACTAGGTGTCAGTGAAAAAGCAGGAGTCAACACAAATGACATAAAAAAGTCTATTTATAGAAGTAATAGCAAAAACTTTCCAAGCACGGGAAAAGGATCTGACTCCAAGTGAGGCATACAGAACTTCAACTAGCCATAACCAAAATAAATCTACACCTAGACATACCATAATCAAGATCCCAGAAATTCAATACAAGAACAGAATATTAAAAGATGTTAGAGAGGGGTTGGGGATTTAGCTCAGCAGCATAAGCACCTACATGGCAAGAGTAAGGTCATGAGTTCAACCCCTGGTACCAAAATAATAATAAAATAATAATAATAATAATAATAATAATAATAAATGCTATTAGAGAAAAGAAACAGATCACCTATAAAGGAAAACCCATCAGAATCATGACAGACTTCTCAACACAAGCCATCAAATCAAGAAGAGGCTTAGGTATTTCAAGTCCTAAAAGCAAACAACTTCCATCCCAGACATATATACCCTGAAAAACTGTCCTTCAAAACTAATGGAGAAGCAAGATACTTCCATGACAAAAACAACTGAAGGAATTTATGACTAGCAAACCAACCCTTAAAAGAATATTGAAGGACATTATAGAAAGAGATAAAAATGATCACGGTTCTAGGAACAGTCTCCCTAGTATAAAAAAACTAAAGAAGTTAGTGGGATCCAAAATGCACAATAGACATTGTGAAAATGAAAGGGGAAGAAATGTCTAAAAAAGGAAGACAGTGGCTATTGTTAATCTATTACTGTGCTTTGAAACCCTATATTGTTTTCATTGTTCTGTTTAGTTTGGTTTTATTCTGTTTTGTTTTGCTTGATTTTATTACATTTGATGGCATCAGTAGCTATTTCAAAGGTAATAAAATACATTATGTGGTAGCCATTATTGATTTTCTATTATCTTGTTTTGAAGTCCTGTATTACTTTCATTGTTTTGTTTTGATTGATTTTATTCTATTTTATTTTGCTTGATTTTATTATGTCCTGTTTATTTCATTTGGTTTTATTCTCCTCAAAATAAAAATAAAATAAAATTAGCATTTCATATTTGAAAAAAATAGTTAATGGTAATCACTTTAGATGGAGTTAGGCAATTGGGAGAAAACTAAGAAGTGGTGCCTTCAAACAGGTGTGGGAGCCAGATGGGAAGTGATTCAGAATAGGATACAGTGGCACACACCTGTAATCCCAGCATTCTGGGAGGCTGGGATAGAAAGATCACAAGTTCAAGCCCAGCCTGGAATATTTAATGACTTAGCAAGATCTTTTTTTAATAAAAAGTTAATAAAAAGATAAAGGGGTTAGGGCTGTAATTCAACGTGAAGGCACTGCATTTTTTCCCCCAGTACCAGAGACAAAAATAGTGAGCCAGTAAGGAAAACTGAAACAGTGAATCCGGCTTCATTTTAGAAACTAGTTAAGGCAAGAAAAGAACCAATGAATTCATATGCCACACAGTTCGAAATAAAGTTTATTAAATAATATGTACAATAAAGGTAGTAATTCAACACATCTATTTATCAAATTCACTTCAACAAGGAAAAATAAATGAACAAAAAATTTGTGCCTGCATAGTACATGCTCTCAGTGTGTAATTTAAGTGAAACACTTTAAATTAATTGGTTATATGTCAGTTGGTTTTCTTTCAGAATATCTTTTTGTAGTAACCTATTCTAGCAATAGAACTTAATGCTACTGCAGATAAATAGGACTGCAAAAATCCATCAATGAAATGAAATTTTTAAAAGTTCTAATTGAGATTATACCTTCTTCTCCCAAGAGAATAATTATTGTAAATTTTAATAGTGTATGGCGGGTATTTTTGTGCTAAAAGTCTGCAGGTAAGTTATTTGGAATTCTTTCATTCAAATAAAAAGGCAAAACTTAATGACTTTCTTATCTTTCCTCCCTTCCATTCAAATTTTTAAAATTGTTTTGTATACAAGATAGGTACACTGGCTATACAAAGTTAAATGTACATATTTACAGTCCCACTTCTCAAGCACATGATCTTTTTTTTTCTTTTACTGATCCCAGAGAGACTGCAAAAGTTAAGTAGTTCTGGCCTGCCTTAGCCTGGAAGCATGGCTAAAATATCAAGGCATGCATCAGTTGGTTGCATTTGGTGTAATAAACCTGTAGAAACATTTCAGCATAAAAATAAGTACTTTATATTACTAAATATCTGAAGACAAAAGAGTAATTGGAAACACTTGTGTTTTTTTTTTTTTGTCATACATAGGAAGCAGAAGTAATGCATTTTACCGTATTATTTTATTAACCATGGGCAAATTGGTGAAGCATACCTCGATTTTGAGAAACATACAAAGATGCGAGGCTGGCATTGTATGCAAATGTGGCTTTACAAATTGGTTTTATTTTCTAGCTGTATTTAAAGAGGTGTTCAAAATTACCTACTTAATCAAGAAGCACCCCTCAAAAAACTATTAGATTCGATCACATTGTTAATGGTTTGCATCTAAGAAAGACCAGAAAACACATTAGCCAATAAAAAGATTACATTCCAAAAACGGTGTGATGCTGCTGTGCAAGATGCACGTGCATATGCATTTCTATTGTATTCCCTCAGAGAGAGAAAGTAAAGCAATAGTGCTCGTCAAAGGTGGAGCAGACCTTCCAAAGCAATATGTCTAATTATCACTAGGACCTAAAGAAAATCATGAAGGCTCTTTCTGCCCAAAAATCCCCTTCTCGCAATTTCAGTCTTTTTCCTTGGGATTGAGGCTCTGGTCCATCTTGCTAACAAATGTCTCTGGGAAGAGTAACACATTCAGTCCCCTTATGAGTCATTTAAATTTGGTTGCTTCCTGAGAGCCTCCTTGAGAGAAGCACTGAAGAAGGTGAGGGTGATGCAGCACACTGGTGGGTGGTGGTGGGACCCTAAGCTGGGCATCTGGGCGGCAGCTGAATCAGGGCACTGAAGACAGATTCTGCTGGCTTGTAAAGACTCCAGACTTCAGGACACTGGTTCTGGGGTAATTCTTAGGTGTGCTCAGAGACCCAGAGCTTCCAGTACACACACCTCTATGACCGAGAATTGCTACTTCTATTTGGGACCTCAAACATGTATTTGTGGGGCTGATGAGAGGGTGAAGGCTCTGGAAAAATGTTCAAGGATTTCTAGCCACAAACTACCTGGAGCAAAAAGTTCTCCCGGCATCCTAGTTGTTCAAAAACAAGCTAATGGAGACAAAAATATGACAATGCTTTCTAGGATCCCTCCAGAAGAAACTCACCTCTGTCTCTCGACCTTCCGAGCACTTACAACAGTCTGTCTTAAGGTCCTTTTCTGTGTCTGTCTCCCCAGTCACCTCCGAGTTCCTGGCAGGCAAGGAACATTGACTTCTATCTTTGGTCACTAAGGGATCTAACAGTGAAGCTGATAGACATCTTCATCTCCTCTTGGACACGATTGTGACTAGAAACTCTGGGCATCACAGGGGTCCCCTCCCCAGGCCCAGCACCCACCAAAGAAGATCTCCTGGTGGCTGCTAGTAGTGGCAGAATAGCTGCTTCTGTACTGTGCCCCAAGGGGATCCCTTAGCAGGTGTCTTAGGATTCACAGCCTGAAGGTCTACATTCTGAGTGGCCCTTGAACTCTTCCAGGGAGTAAACCTGGAGACACGGAGTCCTTCTGGCCTTGGTGTGTCTTACTCGTGGGTGTCCCAGAGGCCAACACCCATCAGTGTATTTTAAGTGAATCATTACATACTGCTCTGGATTCCTATGAGAAGAGGCCTAACAATCCCAAACTGTTTGTGCCAAACAGAAGTCAGAGATGAAAGGTTAGCAGTGGAGGCCTGATAAGTGCAGCTACACTGCCCTGAAGTTGATTGTTTATAAAAGCCAGGGAAAGGGTCACACTGCAAATAACCTCTAGAGCTGCAGAGCTTCCTGACATGATTACATGAAAATAAGAATATAACATTTTTACCTGGCCACCTGCTCAATTCTCAGAATGAACGTTTTGTGCTTTTCTGTCTGAACATCATGGCCATCAACAGCAAAGTTCCTAGGCAAACAACCACACTGCACAGGGCTGATGATTTGCCTCCATTTGTTCCCCTAGACCTCAGAAGGTCAAAGAATAGATTCGACCTTGGGCAGGTTGGGGCCTTTTCACCACTGTTGGGGGACAGCCTAAGCAGCAGCCTACACTGAACCCTAGTAGCACTTGAAGAAATCTGCTTTCTACGGGGTAGCCAGGATGCAGAATGGGATGTCAGTAGATGCTCAGCTTTAGCACCTCTGGGATATGGCTGGGAACCTGTGTGGCATCCCAAAGGTTGCTTTAGGCTCAAGGACCCCTTGGATATGGGGCTTGTTAAGGCTGGGTTAGCATTTCTGCCTAACTCTACTCCTGGACAGCTCTTTAGGTCAGGCTACCCAAGAAATGGGGGAGGGGCAGGTTGGAGCAGCTTCCAGAGGCCAATAAGTAAATACAGATTTACTGTTATTATTTTTGTCCAGCACATGGCTCAGTCTTGATACATGAGTTTAGCTTTTAAATACAACACTTCTCTATTCCTCTTTTTCATTTCTTACTTTATCCACTGCATTAACTCTCCTACTGGTTCATATTTAAATAAAGAGACTGGTATGTGAATTTTGATTCTTTCTCCAACAAAAATAATCTCTGTGGTTTTTCATTCTTCTTATAGATATAAAGGTTTTACATAGTTGCCTGGAAAAGTGCCAAACTGCCTGGTCCTTCTTGAAGTACCTATAAAAAAACACACATACACTAAATGAGAAGACCCACCCACTGAGTGTAGGGACAGTACTGTAGTGATAGATTTCTGCTCGTGTCACTTATATAAGTCCTGCAGTTTATAGAAAAGTATATGGTTTCCAAAACACTTTCCCCTATGTTATCTCATTTTTGCTGGATAGTAGGCTACTCATATCTAATATTCCTATTTTTTAGGAAAAGAAATCCAGCTTCAAAGAGCATCAGCAACACTTCTGAGATCCCTTAATTTAATGTGTCAGAGGTAAAATCTGAATCCAGGTCTCTTGACTCCCAATTCACTGCTCTTTCAAACATTTCTCCTTTTTGAAGGACTTTGCACATTTATTCAATGCAAAAATATATCTAGGATTTAGACTTTCTGAAGTGTAGGATTTCTAACAGACCCCTGACAATGAGTACATAGCAGAAGGACATTCCTCTGAGAAGCCTGGAACAAAGCCTCCTTCCTTGCTTTTGCTACCAATCTTGTTTGGGTCCCAGTGATCCAGGAGCACTGACTAAACCCTCTGTGGCAAACCCCTTCTTGGGCTGCTCCTTATCCACAACTATGAGGCCCCTAATCTTGACCCTCAAAAGTGGAAATGCTCTTGGAAGAGTTTAATAGCTAACTAGCTATTATACTTAATATTATATAATATTATATTATATTTAATATATTAGCACTGAATTCTCAAGTATCACAGCCACATGTAGTGACAGCAGCTGAAATGTGGCTAGGCTGATTTGAGCTTTTCATGACACTAATGAGTTGAGCTGTAACTAGGAAACACATACTAGATCCTGAAAGTTTGGTATGAAAAGAATGTAAACTAATAATTTTACATTGATTACATGATCAAATGGTATAGTAAATGCAATGTTTATAAAATATGCTAGAATTAATTTCACTGAATTAAATTTTTTCAACATTGAGTCTAGCAAATTTTAAAGTTTCAATGTGGCTTACCTGGTATTTCTATTGAACTGCACTGCACTAGAGTGGCTGCTGACTTCTCAGATCTGACCTTCTTCTGAGAAGAACAGTTCCTGGTAGTGAGGGCCTTAATTTCTGAAAGCTTGGGGAACACTGGCTCACTTTCTAAGATGCTGGTGAGGCAAGACAAATCTGTCTTCCCACGCATGCTGAGGATGTGCTGTTCTCATTATTACAGCCTGACATTGCTTTAGGAAATCTTTTCCAGAGAGACCATGAAAGAGCTACTCTTTGGAAAAGGGAGAAATTAAAGCAAAGAGGAAGTCGGTGATTCCTAACATTATGCTCATAATTGAATAGAAAGAAGGTAGGCCTGGGGAGAGATGGGCATCTGATTTCACAGTGTGACACTATAATTTACTACTTGCGTAATCTTTAGACAGTTACTTAACCTCTTTGGCCCTAGCTTTCTGAAATGAAGATATATCTTGGTTTGCAGGAATGTTTGTTGAGAGAATGTAATTAAAAGTATATCAAGGGTTTGGCTTTGTAACAGAATTTCAATAAATGTTGATTTTTTTTCTTTCCTTCCTATAAAGATGAGTTCTTTGTTTTTGCTTTGCAGTGCTGAAAAGATGAAACCCAGTCCTGTACCTGCTAAGCAAACATATTTTAACAGATCACTGATCTACATATCTAGCCCTCCTTTGTTTTAATTAAGTAGGTTACTCTTTGAGTAAGACTGTTAGAAGTCCATAGGAAGTTCTTTGGGATAGCCACACATATACTTGAGTTTCATGTTAAAGACCTAGCCTTCATCAGAATTTTCTTGTATTGTCTCACAAAACTTTTAAAAATAAAATTTCCCAATGTAAAATAGACATTTACAAAATAAAATGTAAATGAAAATCTAATTAATAACAATAATGAATTTGATAATTGCCCTTTCATCCAGAAGACATTGTCATATTTAGTTTTTAAGCTCAACATTAGTAACACCAGTACCATCTCTCGAGCAAACAGGCTGGATGGTACAGAAACTAAAGTTCTTCCACCTGTTCAGAGAAGACAGTGTTTTGCATGGCTTTTCATGCCTAGCTTTTCAATATACAACCAGGGAGAAAAGCATGATGACAGTCTTACCAACAAACCATCCATCATCACATTTTTCCATGACATCGACGATATCTCCATCTTGGAGTTCCAACTCATCATCATTTTGTGGTGTATAGCTATATAATGCTTGGTAGCTAAATCTACAAATGAGAAAAATGAACAGTAAGTGAGTCAAATGCTGACAAGATTGGTGAATTTCAAAACTCCATTTCTGTTTCGTCAATATTTGATTAATGCTACATCTCATTTGCATTATTCAACTCTGTCAACTTTTTCTTCTCTGGTGCAGATGTGTTTAAGTCTTGGCTCTGTCCATAATGTTTCTTGCTTTACACCTCCCACTCCCTTACAGCAACCCTTTATAATGGAACCTCTGCTGCCACCTCTCTAACATTTCTATATCAGAGGTCAATAGTGACTTTTCCAGTTGACAAAAAGAACATTTGCTAGACGTTTGATTCTTACCCTGGCCTCTCAGAGGTAGGTGACACTGCTGAGCAGATGTCATTTGCCCTAGCCTGTGAAAGTGAGCATTCCTGGAACATCATCTATGTCTCCTGTGAGTCTGTATCCCTGTGAGTAACCTCATATACTTCTATAGGTATGAACAGATCACTCTGTCCTAGCTAAGCCTCTCATCACTTCGTCACTGGGTTTGTATCTTCTAAGCAATGATTTTTGTCCTTTGCCTTTGAAAATTAATTCCATTCTGCTGTCAGATTTATTCCCCTAAAACAAAAATATGACCAATATGTTGCTCACTTCAGAAACCTTCAATGGCTTCCTTGCAGAAAAAAATCAAAACTTCATGGCAAAACCTACCATCTGGTCTCATCCTATGTTTTGAGCTTTAGATCTATCTGTCCATGAACAATATAAAGTGGTCACAAATGCTTCTTGGAGTTCTCTAATACTGCCTATTCCATGTCTTTGCAAATGGGATCTCATCTGGAAAGATCTTTTCTTTCCTAGTGAAGTTCTCATGATCCAATTTTCTCTCAATGCTTGGTTCAAATTCCCCTTCTTCTGTGAATGGAAGAATTTCATATATGCATAGGAAATATCTAAAAGAATCAGATTTATTTATTTCTGGTCAAAACTAACAGTTCTTCTCCCTATATCCTCCAGGAAAATAGCACTGAACACTACCAGTAAAACTCTCATTTGCCCGTGCATGTCACTTAACTCTTTACCACACTCTTGTCTCCTAGCAGTCCACGACTTCTTTTATTTATCCACCACTCATTTTCACAGTGATTGACAGGAAACATGGCCTTTATTAGAGAAGCAAGGATGACTTACTCATTCCTCCAAATGTCTGTACCCATAGCCAGCCAATGGTCTGCTTTCTGAGGCCAAAAGTACACCAAGAACATCAGAACTAAAATTTTCCAAAGGTACTTACAAGTCTTGTGAGGTTTGACTCCTATCTGGAGTGACTCTTCGCTGCTGGGCTTGAGGTTGCTGAGAAATGATTAAAGATGGTTTATTGTCAGAAGGAGATACCTTGTGATGAAAGTCAAGGGGATGAGAGACAGTGCTGCAGTAATGAACAGATTTTTCGGCAATGTTTATGATCTCATTGCAAACTGCTTCCTGTGAGGTGGCCCCGACATATCCAGAAACCCCCACAGAACAGTCAACATGGGGACCAAAAAAAAAAAAAAAAAAAGAGAGAGAGAGAAGAGATGTAACATTCCAGACGAAGCACATAAGTCCAGGGAAAAACAGAGTTGAAGGTCCAGGTTTAAAAAACAGATATTCCAGTAGTGGAGTACAGGAGGGATCCAGGTGTAAGCATGGAAAAACAGGTAAGATACAGAAGAATTTGGAATTTAGTATCAGTATTAAAAAATAGAGGGGCAGCAGCATAAAAGCCTGTAATTAGTGAGTAACTGTTACAAATGGAATAGTCTCAGGACACAAATGCATTATGTATCCCCAATCATGCACTAATACATTAATTTAATCTCACATATAGGCAGAGTGGAAAAATAATCTCTAGATTTCTCTGCTTTTTTTTTTAAAGGGTAACCTAACATTTGGTTCTACTACAATAGCCACAGACTCTTGTAATGGCTCAGTGAGTTAACCAGTCATTACTCTAAACTTTGGAGTCAGTAAGGATTCTCTTTAGAAATGTTACCATAATCTTATTCAACAGGCATCTTACCACATAGCTCTTTTCAGATTCTGTGAGATCAGGTCCTGCTCTCAATGAATGATGAGAAGGCTGTGATCACCAAGCAAATCATAAGGGAGACATTTTAGCAGATGTCACATTGGAAAGGATTCAAAATAAAAGAGTGAGCAAATACACATACCACATCATCACACTCATATGACACGGGATACCTGTGGCCTATGGCCACTGAGTCTCCATGACAACATGGTGGATGTAGAGGACAAAATGCAAAAGTACAGAGTTAGAAGCAAACATCCAGGCAATGAAATGAGAAATTGAAAACATGGCTGCAGTAGTTGACAATAAGCAACATACAGTCTCCAGATTGGCAGGAGAGAGACATGAGAGATGTCTTTTGAAACAGACATGTCCCTCCATGAGCCACATAGAATTGTTCCCTTCACTCTTAGCTAAGAAGCATCTAGGGAAGGGCTGCTATGCCAAAGCCAGGTTAAGTATTTGTTGACTGGAAGCCTCTACTAGAGCAAAGTTATAAAACTATCAAGTCTGCCACAATTGGATATTTACAAAAACTGCAAAAGAACACTTTGAAACATTACTAGTTAATATTTGAAGTATCAAACCAGACCCTTCCTCAGGAAAATTTGCATATGACATATTCCATAGGTCTGAATGGAGTTCAGAGAGCTCACAGGGCAAAGCTTGTTGCCAGAAGGAGGAGTGCACAACCTGATACAGATGCTGAGATGAGACTGTCACTCAAATAGCATGTGTTGACATGAAAATAGGGGCAAGCAGGCAATGCAGACCTGCCCTTTGAACAGGATTCCGTGGCAGAGGCCAGACCTTCACTCAAAAGACTTTTTAAAATAATTTTCCCCACAGAAGATGCAAATCTGAGTGCTAGGAATTCTTTTTGAATGAATATTTGAAAACCCTTCAGGTACCAGGCAATAACTGCAATGGTCCGCAGTAACTCCAGGGTCTTAGAAATGTTTGTGTAGGGTCCACTTGTTTTATAGAGATGCCCACCTAGAGGGAGAGACCCTGTAATGTTGTATAGCAGCTGAATATACATTTGTCTCCTGGGTTCCACTACTGCTGTGAGTCATGTCTCTCATCCTCGAACCATCTTCTACCTTATCAAGAGTGCCCACTGACATAATCAAGAACTCTCCCAGAAATGCTAGAGAAAAGCAGACCAGGTTGATCCATTTTCTTTTTGCTTTCTTTTCTTTTCTTTTTTTTTGAGACAGGGTCTCATTGCAGTTCAGGCTGGCCTTGAGCTCACTCTATAGCCCAGGGTGCTCTCAAATTCACAACGATCGTCCTGCGTCAGCCTCCTGAGTGCTGGGATTATAGGTGTGAGCGACCACACCTGGCTCTGTTTTCTTAAAGAAAGCAGCTGCTCGGGGTATTTAGTATATTTCTCACTACCACATGGATAGTGAGAGGTGAAGTATCACATCCTCCTTTCCACTGTAAATGGCCCCATCCTGTAGCATGTTCTGCACAGCCAATCTCTATCCAGGCATCACTGCTATACTCTCAATCTTCAGGAAGTCTCTGGTTTTCTGAATCTTCTCCAAACTGACCACTCAGATTCAAAACTTTGGATTTTGGCAAGAGTTAAGGAAAATGCAGAACCAAAGTCCATTTCATGCTCCTTCAATAGCATCTCAGCATTTGCACCCTTTGGCCTCATGGCTGAGAGTTGACCTATGTGGCTCTACTCATCATTCCTCATGCTCTTTTCAAGGCTTTCAAGGGGAGAAATGGACATCTGCAAGCACCTCCTGTGTGGGCTTTCAGAAGAATAAAACATATTCTGGTCACTTTGAGTGGCCTAAAAGAAGGGACAACTTAACACAAAATAAAAAATGAAAAATACTTCATTAAATACTCTTTGGGCATATTGGGTTAAATGAAATCTAATATTAAAATTAATTCCATCTATTCCTTCTTAGTAAAATGGCTACTAGAAATTTTAAACAATGTATGTGACTCAAATTATCTTTCTCTAGGCATTCCTGCTTTCAACTCCCCTAAATCCTAACATCTGTCCTCTACATCTAACATCTAAGAGTGGACATATGCTCTCACCAGGACCTCATCCAGGGTTAAAAATAAAGGATGTATTAGCTCATGCTAAGTATATTTCACACTCTGAAGATAAATTCCGGTTTTTACATCTTTGGAAAAATAGAAATCTGTCCAACAATGTGGTTGTGAACATGCACATGCGTGCACACACACACATACACACATATACTCAGACTGTGCTACCCTTTCCTCATCAATAGTAAGCAAGCAATAGTCAGTGATCAAGAATCTTTCTTCTGAATTCATGCGCAAGCTGCACTTCTGGCCTGGAGCCAGGTGAGTGGCCCTGGCTCTTGGTCTCCTGTTCTGGTTTCCTATCTTCAGTTCACACAGGTCCCTCTCAAATCTGACCTTAGTCTCCCTGGAGCTGTTAATTCCTCTCAATTCACAAAACACTTCATGCTACCACAGTTTCTAAGTGTACTCTTCTAGCTTTTTGTGTATACCAAAGTCTAGAAGTTCAAAATTCATTACACACATTCTAAAAGAACAGCAGGAAACACTGGAGATGTGGACAGGATAGAGACCCTCATCTATATAACACTGGAGCCCCTCTAGAGATACCATGACTCTATACTGCTCTCTTAAATGGGAAGCATCTCCTAGAGACGCATTCCTCTTGTCACCTCCTGCCTCATGCTTTCTTAGATCCTGTCCACCTTTCTGGTGACTTGTAATGGTCCTTCAGTAGCACAGTGAGAAAATACGAGTGCCAGGCCAGGTTTTGACACTAATTTATTAAGTGCATAACTTGCTTTGACCTCAAAGCTGTCAAATAAATAAGGTTAGGTATGATTTATATAAATGTCGTTTTTGGCTCTACGAATCTATGATTGGAGTGTGTTTGCCTGATGAGTTAACAGTTACCACTCAGCAGGGCTGGTGTGGCTTAAGGGAAGTAGCATTTCACACGCTGTGAACAGGAGACCGGGTGGGGAGAGCTTCACGTCACACTCAGATACAGACGGACAGCTCATGTCTGGAAGTGTGGGAGACAGGGGCTTGTCCTGTGACAGTGGCAGAAGATTTGTAGCTCCTGGAACATCATGAATGCACTGCCAGAAAACTAGTGAAGCCAGACTCAGCTTCCATAGTTGCAGTTCCAGGAAAACTCCAGTGTATCCTCGAGCCGCTTCTGGGTCCACTGCTTTCTCCCTCTGAGCTCCCAGTTCAAATATAAAACAGCTCATCAACAATTAGTTTACTTGCTAACTACCCATACCGAATCTTGCAGACCACTCAACAAATGAAATTACCAAAGTGACCTTGTAGAAATTGGAATCTGATGACACTCAGCTGAATGTTTTGCTCATGGTAGACTATGGTTTTACTTCTTAGCTTCTGTCATATAGTAGTCAGGGAACTAATGGCAGATGTGCTAAAGGGTAAAGAACCTAAACACTCTCCATGAGTAGCTTATACTTTTATCCTCAAAGTGGGAGAAAATAAAAAGGAACGCTCATTGGTTAGAATGCAAGTTCAAAACTTTCTAAATTCTTAATTTACACAACTCCCCATAGAAATGAGTTCCTTATCTTCTACTTTCTTCTCTTTCAACCCCATCTTCTTGCAAGTGGAACAGGGTAACAAAAATGAGGTAAATGACTTCTGTTTCTTTTCGTGATCCTCAGTATCACAAAGCAGCTATTGAGTCCCATCTACCTGCCTTGTGCCAGATGCTTTCATCAGCATTATTCACTGAACTAATTCATGTCATTTTAACTCAAGAAGGTGGTCAGTGCTTACTACACTTTATAAATGAGGAAAAGATACCTAATATGTTGGAACTGGAAATATGAAGAACACGGATTCAAACAGCTGTTTCTCTAACTCTAAATTCTGTATACTTCTCTACACCCTGATCTTTGAGCTGCTCTACCAGAGGGAGATTTCAGAACCTGTAAGAAAGATGCTGATGCACAGATCACCTTGTCTTGTACCCTGTGGCTGGCACCTGAGTATTGACTGGTAAGCAACATTTCTCTACACACTGGAGGAGCAGACACCACTGCTGCTGAGTAAAAGGAAAATGTTTCATGCTTTTGAGCATCTTAACATTTCAAATTTCCTCTTTTGTTCTTATTTGTATGCATTTGCAATGCAAACTGCATTGTATGTTTTTCCTTTATTTTGGATTTCAGTCTGTTCTCTTTGTGAGAACAACTTATTTTCCATATGCTGAGGGATATTTCCTCTGAAATCACCAAAGCAATTCTTTCTGTCCTCTCAGATGCATGGCTTCTCTGCTAAGACAGTGGTTTCTCCTTGTGTTTTTAGGCAGATATTTTGAAGATACTTAGCTCCTCTGAATACGTTCATCTCATACTTTGTACTCTCAGATTTTATTGTTTGATTGGTTTCCTTCCCTTTACAAACCAAATTTCTATTAAAATTGCTTTGTCACTATTTGTAGGCCTCAGTTTTCTCATTTCATCATAAATGTCTAATGAATTAGAAACTCTTAACCTACTGGTCCATGGACAAGATGGGAGCGCTGAAGTGACTTAGCTATCAGCCTCTAAGAACTTTGCACAAATGCATGAGTCACCTTTCTCATACTGCCTGGAACTCTCAGTTGGCTCTGATTCTCAGAGGTTCTGTGATACAGAAAAAGCTTTGTCAGTGGGATAGGTGGCTTTTAAAGATTCTTCCTAATTTAGAAATTGTATGAGGCTTGCTCACAAACTTCAGAAACTCTTAAAATTCATGACTAGATACTGATCAGCAAACAACACTTCTATCCTGGGGAAACAATATATATTTGATGATGATAATGATACAGATTTCCTGATCTTCTCTTTTTATTTTCCTCTCCAATTATTGATAATCTGTTGGCTAAAATTATGCCCACCAAAATCCAAGAACTTGTCCGGTAATGTGAATTCTTGGGTATTTTGTACGTACCTTGAGTATGTTTTGTCCAAATAATTAAGCTGTCTCTTTAAAAAACAGAAGGAAAATGTTCATTTTTCAATGGACTGAAG